CACAATGGCCACCTTCAGGGACAAAAGTAGGCAGTCATTGTAGAGAAGACTGGTTGTTATGGTTATGCAATAAAACACCAACACAACTTAGAAAATACCAGCGACTTAAAAGGGAGATTTCATTGCTCACAAAATTGTAAGGGTTTAAATGGAAAAAAATGCTGGATGGCAAGGTGCGCTGTCCAGAAACTTTTTCCATTGATACTTTTTGTATTTTTTCAGTTATTTAAACCACCATAAAACCACACTCTTTAGAGTTTAAAGCCTAAAAATTGGTAGACCAGGACACCAAGAAGAGAGCCATTGTGGAATGGTGGCTGTTCTAAGTAGAGGATTAGCCTGCAGTGCAGGTGTATTTTGTGTGGGCGAAACCTTGTTCATGTTCATATTATTGTAGCCGTCATCTTTGATTTTATGACAGTGGAAGACTGGGGAGAGTAGAAATAGTAAAAACATTTGTGCGCCCAAAGAAAACACCTGCACTGCAGGCTAGTAGAGGATTGAATGTACGAAAATCAGTCTGCCTAAAGGGCATGAAGTTGCTTATCAGAGCTCTAGTCAAAGCTCTCAGTAGCTACTCCAAATTAACTAAGAGCACTTTCCATTTGTCAGAACCGCGGGCCAGCCAAATTATCTGTTCCTATTTTAATGAGAATTTCACTTTTTATCAAAACTGTTCTGCCAGATCAAATAATTCCAAAGGGTTGATGGGTTTTTAAGCGAAAACTCTTAACAATGCCTATTTCATTTTTCTAAATGAACTGTATGGCCACCAAGTTTTGACTTTTGGAAAGCACCCTCAGTAAAAAAACTTCTTTCTTTCCAAAAAGGGTAACAAACTTAGGCCCCCACTTAAGATAAATATGTACTAGCCCCTGAAGGCCATTCGATTAGGTACATCTAGGTCACCAATAGTTTTATTTTTCTTACTGTGAGATCTTTGTGAAGTTCAGCACCCCAGCTGTTCATTACACAGTGCCTAGGCCACAACACTTGATCAATGATGGGGATTTTGTCATAAACCACAACATCGAAGACCTTGGCTTTCTCAGCTGTCACTTGACTAGAGGAATGCAGCGGATACAAGGACACATTGTCAACAAAGGAGCAATGATCTGATGGATGCCAATCAAAAGAGTAGGCGACAACACTAAACATCTTTTTTGACAGCAGCTCTTGTATGACTGATACAACTTCTTCACCATCTTCACCAGCAGGGCAGTTTTTTAAGGCAAGAGACCCACTAATGAAGTCATTTTGTACATCAACAATAAGCAGAGCTGATATAGGGTTGAGAACCTACAAAGGACGAACACAAAGTCTATGCCCATAGAACCATTGTGAGCAGTGAAGGAAGAGTTCTCCCATACATGTATTTTCCTAATTCTTTTATTTTTGACTGTTTATCACCGTTCATTTGACAATTCTTTGATCAGTAATTCCACAGTTTGTTACATTTACATGGCTCTATAGGTTTATGCCACTATTTTTTATTGTTTGTGTATGCAAATAATAAATCATAATGCATCATGATAATAGTGTACAGTGTTCAAAAGTAGGTTGAGTTTGATCGTCCGGGTGAGCATAGTCCTCAATAGGACTGTTGTTGTTGACAGTGACTGGCGTTTCGACAACCTGTGCGGTAGTCATCTTCAGAGTCAAAATGAGTTGTATCATTGAATACAACTCACTTTGACTCTGAAAATGACTATCGCACAGGTTGCCAAAACGTCAGTCACTGTCAACAACAACAGTCCTATTCAGGACTAGGCTCACCCAGACGATCAAACTCAACCTACTTTTGAAATAACTCCGGGTTCAAACCTTTCACAGTGTACAGTGTATAGGCATGCAATGTAATTCACAATGAAGTGTTGCAATAATGAATAAAAAAGCTTCTTATATACTCTGACAAATAGCAACAAATCACTTTGAAGTGCAGGGGTTAATGCAGTTATCACCATAGTGGAGATCTCATATTTTAGTCCGAGGGGACAATCCTTTCCTGTTCCTTAGTTTATAAATTGAAGTGCCTTTTTCTAACACTATGAAAAACAGCTTTATACTCACTGGTCTTAACCAATATTCCCACAAGGCTACACAAGAACTCTCCTCAATTCTTTTCTGAAACAAATTAACAGTATAATGTAAACACACTATTGACACCTTAATCACACCTGCAAATAATTAAATGGATTAAAACAAAGAAGAGGACAATGTTTTGCTAGAAGCAAATAGTGAAATGTTTTCCTCTGATATCACTCACAAACTACTGGCAAGGAAACAGTTTCACTGGCAGGTGTCATCAGGGATGTCAAAAGTAGCTGGCTGCCGGTGAAAATCGCTGCCAACTTGGTAAGTATCGGCCATCTACTCTGCTTAGCATTAACCTGAGATCAGGCCCAATTTGAGCGGTTCTCATGCATTCTCTCTAATGGCCACTGCTGAAATTGGTTTCGCCTTGCCCGCCGAAATGTAATTTTCAAAGCGAAACGAAAATAGAGCCTGATCTCAGGTTAGCTTAGCATTTCTTTATGGATGGCATTTTTTTAAAAAAACATTCCTGGACTGGCCCCTTACTTTGACAACTCAGCCGTCTACTTCAAAACTTCCTGACAACCCTGTGTCATGTGAGTGTAAAGAAGCTAACTGGAGAATGTATGTTCTTGAGAAAACAGGACTACTGAGAGTTGATGGTGGGAGGAGGGGGGGTGGAGAGAAGGTGGGGTGGAGTATAATATTAAACAAACTTTCTTCAATGGGAAGCAAAGATATATACTGTATACCGTAAATATTTTTAAGACCCATACGTATACAGAACCCCACAACACTCCACAAGACTAAAAATAAATTTGTACCTTTCTAATTAATAGAGGAAGATAATATTAATGTTTGCACTTCAAAACGTCAAAGAGGTTATGTGTATCAACAGGGTAAATAATTTTGTGAGAATATGTCAACAGTGTATTGCCTACACGATTGATTTAATTTGCTAGCATGTATTTTGTACGTACTCAAAGTATACAAATGCAAATTATCATCAAAGGCTTGTGAGAGGTTGTTTGTACTGGCGTAATTTTTGTGCGCTTACCTAAGAGAAAACGTATCAGATATGCAAAATTAACCAAGCTTGTTCGTTCAAGATGGCTGCACTTTGGCCTCGTTCTGTTTAAGTTTTTCTATGGACCGAGACGAAAAACAGCCAAAAGGGAACTTGGCTAATATACAGCGATCTTGACAAACTTAGCTCTAAAGCTTAAGAACTCGAAATTTCTCGCACTACTGACCAAGCAAACACAGAATTGCTGTCTAATATCTTCTGTTTGCTCTGTCGTTAACCGCTCTAAACCACGTTCCTCAAACAGCAGGCTCAACCAACCACTGAATTCATCTTCCGGAACTTCTTGATACTTCGTATACTTCACTACAATAACCAAAAAATGTAAAGTTAAAAACGTTAGACGAAAGTCGTATTATGCATGCTATGAACATGTGATGACCGGTGCTTAAAAACACCGGGCAATTTTAAGCTCAATTAGTTACGTTCACTTACCTATAGAAGACTTCTTAAAAGAGGAGGAAATGTTCTGTCTTAATAACTTTAAAATATGCTCTCCTTTCCCATCGTTTTGCCTGTATTTGTCAAAGAAGTGACTAACTCTTTCTAGAAGAGACATGTTTCCCGTTACGTCACAGGATTTGCTGGGGTTTTCCTGAGGCCAATGTTGGCAAATGTTGGCAGGCTATTGTTACCCATTATTGGCACAGGCTCTTGTCTGGTGGTTCCCAGTCCTTTTGAGGGAGAGGATATTGACGTCGCAGGAAGCTGAAGCGGTGAGATAATGAACGGTGAGTTTGATCTTCGATATAGCAATAAGAGGCAATTGGAGGCGGAAGAAGATTCTGGAACGAATTCTGACTTAACAGAAAAGCATTCGAGCGATGTTCGACAGATCCCCATGGTAAGAAATACTAGTAGGTAATTTTTTGTGTTTTAAGTGCAAGTCACCCACGCGAACTAACCATCTTGTCACAAATTCAAGGTCACTTCAACGAAACGTATAAAAAACATTGAAAAGGAACATGAAAATACTGTCAGCCGTTCTTCTTCAAAACCTCTCGAATGTCCTTCATCTCAGTTTCCATATCTTCATACTCAGGTGTGTTGTTAACGATTACCGATTTAACTTCATAGATTGATTTGTTTGCAGATTTTGACTGTTGGTAACAAGCAGACCATCCTCTGTTTGTGACAATCGGAGCATCGATCTTTTGTTCTTTATGCAGCTATCGATGTGTACAGCCGCCTAGGGGGCCGGGGAGGCAGGGCATGGGGTGGGGATTTGACATTTATCACAAATATGCTGACAAATTGCCTCCACGAGGGCAAATCATTCCAGTCAAATAATGCACAAACATTTCCCCACCCCGGTTATCCCCGATTATCCAGGTCTTCGGGGATTGGTGCTCCGATGCGCATAAATGTTATCTGGATATCTCTATGGCCCTTAGGCCCTGTTTACAAGGAGGGAGGGTCACCGTCTTGCTAGGAGGGTCACCCTAGCACTCGCACATTTTTTCATTTTTACATGACGTGTTTACAAGGCAGGTAGGGTTATTCTAGTGCTAGGTTAACCCTCCCTGAGTGGTAGGGTTACCCTAGTAAGAGGGTTACCCTACATGTACCTGCCTTGTTAACGCTCTGCTAGGGATAACTCGCCTTCCCAGGTCAACTGTCGTCCGTCATGTGTGACCAGTAATCGTGCCAATTTGATATGGTATTATCCAATTTCTGAGCTCAGTGATTATTACAAATAGCGGAAAAATAGGCTGGTTAAGCCTGCTGAGACATTGGTTGTTTGGCTGGTCTGGCAGGCAGAGAGGTTGTTATTCTGTTGTCATTTCGTCCATCTCGTGTAGGCAGTTATCCTTATCAATTAAGTCTCGTTCTTTGCCGAACAATCAGTGTCTCAGTGTCATTTATGTGTAGTATTTAGTTTACGAAGAAAATTGTATTGTTTTTAGGTACTAAAAATAGCTAATTTTCTGAGTTCACAGTGGGTAACCTTTTGATCTCCTATTACTAGTGCAATGTCCAGTACATTGTTACCCAGTGATTTTACTCTGATTGTACAGTTCTGTCATTGTCAGTGTTCATGTCGGATGCTAGATTTATGGTGTTATTATTATTATTATTATTGTTTATGGTGTTATTTGTGTATGACAGTTTACGGACCACAGAATGGAATTGGAATAGGGGGCTATACGACAAATATGTACATGTGGCAATGTTTTGCCACAACCATCAAATACAACAATATTATGAAAACATATTTTCTCTAGTGGCCACCACACCACTGTATTGACCGAGTTAGCAAATTTGTTAGTAAATGTGGTGATGACAGTTGGAGAAGATAGACAATATTACTAAAGAATTTGAGATTAAAACAAGGTATTAAGGCCCAATAATCATAAAGACACAACTAACATAAATTTGTGAAACTGTGAAAGGTTTGAACCTACCTCCTCTTAAAATAAATTTTCTGATTTCCTACCTACTCTTAAAATAAGTTTGCTGATTCTTTGGAAATAGGTGTAGAATACTTTTATTTGTTGTGTCTGTTTAAAAAAATTGTCTTTTTTAATTTTTTTTTTTTGTCTTATTTTTATCAGGAGCAGTTGAAGAAAATTTTGGAAACAAGAAGATTCCAAAATCTTCAAGAAAAGTTCAACTTTCAGGTTAAGTGTAATACAGCTTTGTTGAATGTAAAACGATATTGCAGAGAATGAGTCGAGACAGGTATAAACTCAGCTGGGTCTTTTTTTGTAAGGATGCACTTTCCAAAGGAACAGTTTACATGTGAAAAAAAGAAAACAAACAAACAAACAAGCTGATAGCTCATCAGTAATGACATATATTTACCAGCCTCGCAGTGAATTTGATTTACTTACCTATTACTTCCTTAGATGAGTAATGATCTGCTCGTGATATAACTCACTCTCAAATCCATTGTCTAGATTAGTAGGCTGAAGTATATGAAGGGTAGGGAATTTTTCCATTTTGATCTGAAAGAAGGCTTAAAATGGGGGCTAACCGATTCATTTTAAGTTCTTGTGATTTATTCATTTATTTATACATCATCTACAGCAGTAAAAAGGGATACAAAGTTCTAAACTATGCGTGTGAATGGGGAACAATAAATTAAAATTTAACAGTGGTATTCGAAAGGAATGCCTTTTCTGTCACAGTTGGTATATAAAAGGATTAGGGGTCCAACCTCAGGGAGGGGTGGGCCTACCCATATAAAACTTTGTTGAGTATCCCCCTGCCCCACCCCCGGGGTCAGATAGATCAACTCTGTAATGTGTACATCAGTAAACTCATTTATTCAGTATTACAAACACAAACAACAACTATCTTCAATGCTGATGATGAATCCCATGTACAGGATGTCAAACAATAGTCACTGTAACCAATTAACTTAGATTTTTTATTAGATGACCACTGGTCTTAAATCACTCAACTGTTTACAGCAGAGGAAGTCTTGGGGGCTGAGAAGTTTTACAAGCAACACTAATTGAATTTGGCCCACTAAAATGGGACAAATCTGCTTAACAGCCATTGTGTGCATAGTCACTTTCCCAGATTGGTTGTGCTAGTTATTTAAGTCTCACTCGCTGAGAGATTTTTTTGTGAAACAGGATTCTGATGATAGTGATGAAGAGGAAGAACAAAACAGCATTAAGACAGACCGTGATCACAAGCAATATGAGTTGACAATGAAGGCCATACGGGAAACACTCCTTAAGAAACCAGATGATTAAAGTCATATCTTCTCCCTCAATGTTAATCAGCAATTTCATATTATTTAATTGCATTGTCATCATTTTCTCTATTTTCTCATTCTTTTTTACAGTTTTATATCTGACAATATTATTGTTCACCACCAATTTCAAGTTATTGAATTGTGTTGTGATTATTTTCTCTATTTTCTCATTCAATACTCTTTTCACAGATTTATACATGACAAAATTATTGTCCACCACCAATTTCAAATTATTTAATTGTGTTATTATTATTTTTATTTTCACAGATTTATAGCTGACAATTATTTTTTGTTCACCACAAATTTCAAATCATTTAATTTAATACATTGTCATTATTTTCTTATTCTGTACTTTCTTCACAGCCACCAATTTCAAATTATTTTATTGTATTGTTATTATTTTCTCTATTTTCTTATTCAATATTCTTTTCACAGATTTATATCTGACAATATTCATATCGACTTTGAAGAGTCAAGTGTAATTACCTTGTACATTTTATATGGAAACATACTTTGAAGTAAAAGCGGATGTGATAATTGAAGAAAAAAATTGTTAGTCACTGCCACGCCATCAGAAATAACCGCAGTAGAAAACATACATGATGTCAAGAATGAAAGAAAATAAATGTGCAATTTTTATTTAGGTCTGTGTGGTTAGTTTGTGAATGATATATTCAGAAAAAATTATGCCTAGAGTTCTTCAAACCAACACAATGACAATAGCATGTACTATACCGTATTGTATTTTCTGATGTGCTAAATGAAAAGAAAGGCTTTGTAGACTATAAAAATGTCAATTTTACAGAGTCGCCATATTTGTGATTTGTCCAAAGGGGCAAACTTATGGTTTTATTCCAAAAAATTGACATTTTATCTTTCTCTGTTCTTTCAGTTCTTCCTCTAACTAGACCTAGAAATAGTGTTCCTTAGACAGAAAAGGGGCTTTCAAAACTGTAAAGAAGTCGATTTTACAGAGTCGCCATATTTGTGATTTTTCCACGGGGGTTAACCCATGGTTTTGGTCCAAAAAATTGAAATTTTATCTTTCTCTGTTTTTTAGTCTAAATAGACCTGGAAAGAGTGTTTGTTTCGTTCAAAATTGAAAGAAAGGCTTTCCAGACTGGAAACTTGTTGTTTTTCCAGAGTCGCCATATTTATAATTTTTCTAAACCCATGGTTTTAGCCGAAAAAATTGAAATTTTATTTTTCTTGCTCTTTGGTAAAAATGGACCTAGAAGTTGTGTTTCTTTTTGTCCTAGATAGTAAGAAAGGGTTTCCAGGCTATAAAAATGTCGTTTTTCAAGAATCGCCATAATTGTGATTTTTCGAAAGTCGAAAAATTAAAATTTTATCTTTCTTCGTTTTTGGTAAAATTGACCTAGAAAACACTAGAAATAGTGTTTGTTTTGGTCTAGGGTTTTCCCGAATAGTCGTTTTCCCAGATTCGCCATATTTCCAAAAGAGTTGGTTAACCCATGGGTTTAGTCCAAAAACTGAAATTTCATCTATGTTGATTTTTGGTGCTAATTAGACCTAAAGACAGTATTTGGTGATGTTCCAAATGAAAAGAAAGAGTTTCCAGACTATAGAAATGTCGTTTTCCGAGAATCACCATATTTGTGGTTTTTCCTGCAAAAAAAAAGGCCGGAAAGAACTATCCTCCACCCCCACCAATGTAAATTTTACTTTAATTTCAAGACGTAACATTTACAATATTATCATGGAAAACTTCGGGTGTTTTCTATTATGTCAAAGTTTTCGGAATTTCTGAAATTTTGGTCGAGAAATAAATGGAACGCTTCGTTCCGCGTGGAAATTTTCCGCTAAATTTGTCCACCTCCAGAGGTAGT